TCCAACTTGTGACATTGCTGGAGAAATATCAGGATATATTTTCAAAGCATCATCTTGACTGTGGAGAAGCCAAGGGCTTTGCCCATAGGATCCGCCTCACTGACGACCGTCCCTTCCGTCTTCCATATCGCAGAGTGCCGCCAGCCCACTATCAAAAGCTGCGCCAAGTTCTCACCGAGATGGAGGAACAGGAAATCATACGGAAATCAATGAGTGAATATGCTTCTCCACTCGTGATGGTTTGGAAGAAAAATGGCGACCTCCGGATATGCACAGACTTTCGATGGCTGAATGCAAGAACTATCAAGGATGCTCATCCTTTGCCCCATCAATCGGACTGCTTGGCTGCCCTTGGCGGTAATGCTGTCTTCAGCACCATGGACCTCACGTCTGGATTTTATAACTTGCCCATGCATGAGGAGGACAAAAAGTATACCGCCTTCACACACCATTAGGCCTGCACGAGTATAACAGAATGCCACAGGGGCTTTGCAACAGTCCAGCGTCCTTCATGAGGATGATGATGAGTATCTTTGGCGATCTTAACTTCAGCAGTCTCTTGTGCTACCTAGATTATCTCTTGATATTTGCCCCCAATGAACAGCAGGCCCTCAGCAGATTAGAGGTTGTTTTCCAGAGGCTACGGGAGCACAATCTAAAGTTGAGTCCAAAAAAATGCCATCTGTTGCGGAGATCTGTGAAGTTTCTCGGACACATCGTTGACAGTGACGGTGTTGCTGTTGACCCAGAGAAGGTCGAGGTCATCACCAAAATGTCAAAGAGGGACCTGATGGAAGATGATGGCTGCACTCCTTCAGTTCACAGAGTGAAGTCGTTCCTGGGGATGGTACTTTATTACCAACACTACATACCAAATTGCTCCTCCATCGCAAAACCCCTGTTTGCTCTCACAGCTGGCCAGAAAAGGAGAGGAAAGGCCGGGAAGTACAGTCAGAATGCGGGAGTCTACAGAAAGCTCAAACCTGCGGATTGGACCCTTGACTGCGATTCCGCTTTCGCTGGCCTTAAGGAGAAGCTCCTGAATTGTGTGGTCCTTAGCCATCCAGACTTTTCTAAGCCCTTGGTTCTGTCCATTGATGCGTCTCTTGATGGCCTTGGGGCAGTTCTGTCCCAGATACCAGAAGGAGAAACGAAGGCACGCCCGATCGCCTTTGCCAGCAAGACCCTCACTGGCTCACAAAAGAGGTATCCTGCTCACCGACTGGAGTTCTTGGCGCTCAAATGGAGTGTTTGTGAAAAATTCAGCCACTGGTTGAAAGGCCACACTTTTACAGTGTGGACCGACAATAATCCTTTGACCTATATAATGACCAAACCAAAACTTGACGCTTGCGAACAGAGGTGGGTGGCAAAGCTTTCCCCCTACACCTTCAGTATCAAACACATTCCTGGGGTAAAGAACATTGTGGCAGATGCCCTGAGTAGAGATCCGTTTGCTAAATCAGTGAGCCAAAGGTTGATCAGTGAGCCCTATGAAAGTCTTTTGGCCGAGGCGGAGGGAACCAAAGAGGAGAAAGTCCAAGATCTCTTCCGGAGTAAGACCCAGTGTCTCCAGGCACTTGATGCAGGGTGCTGTGTAACTATGGACCCCACTCAAGACAGGCTGGCCGGCAGTCAAGAACCCTCTCATGTGAAATCTGCTTGTGAAGCTCATGTAGAGTGGGAAAGGGGAGCAGAGATAAGAGCAACACAGTTTCTCAATGTTCTTCCCCAGGCGGTGCCCTCAGAACAAGACACACTTCCAGCCCTCTCCATCGGCGAGCTGAGGCAGAGCCAGGAAATAGATCCAGTTATCAGGGAAGTCCTGCCACTCATTCAGAGGGGTGAGCCACCACCTAGGCGAGGGAGGAGGAGGTTAGCTCTTACGACCCAGACACTGTGCAAGCAGTGGCATCATCTAAAAGTCCAGGACGGAGTCCTATATAGGGTAACCAAAGACCCATTAAGCAGAGAGAAGAGGTATCAGTTTGTGCTGCCTGCTAGCTTGAAGGCCAAAGCTCTCGCTGGTGTGCATGATTTCGCTGGGTATCAAGGGCAGGCTAGAACAGCACACCTCGCCCGACAGCGTTTCTTCTGGCCGCAAATGGGAAGAGACATCAAGGAATATGTGAAATGCTGCCAACGCTGTATCCTTGCAAAGACCCCTGAACCAGCTGCCCGAGCTCCCTTGGAGAGCATTCGCACTTCGGCACCCATGGAGCTGGTGTGCATTGATTTTTGGAGTGCTGAGGACTGTAAGCAAAGATCTGTCGATGTGTTAGTCATAACAGACCACTTTACAAAATTGGCTCATGCCTTCCCTGCATAAACCAAACTGCAAAGCAAATAGCAAAGAAGTTATGGGATAACGTATTCTGCATCTACGGTTTCCCAGAGCGAATACATTCTGATCAAGGGGCCAATTTTGAAAGCAAACTCATAGCTGAACTCCTCAGCCTCACAGGGATTATGAAAACACACACAACAGCATACCATCCCATGGGAAATGGGCAAACCGAAAGGTTCAATAGGACACTTGGCAGTATGTTGCGTGCCCTACCCCTGACAGCTAAGCAACACTGGGCCCAACAGATACAGACTTTGACTTTTGCGCATAATGCCACCACTCATGAAACAACTGGATATCCTCCATTCTATTTGATGTATGGTCGAGTCCCCAGACTCCCAGTAGACATGGTCTTCAAACAAGTCTTGAGGGATCCAGTCGTGGTGAATTATAAGACATATGCAGAGAAACTGATGGCGAACCTCCATGTGGCTGCCGACATAGCTCAGCAGCATGCGAGGAAAGGACAGCAACATCAAGCTGATGGCTACAACAAGAGAGTTCGTGGAACCCACTTGAACGTTGGCGACATAGTTTTGTTAGCTAATAAAGCAGAGAGGGGGAAGAGGAAGTTAGCGGATAAGTGGGAAGCCACTATGTATACCATCATAGACCGGAACCCTCAGACTCACGTTTACAAAGTCAGAGAAGAAAGTGGGAAAACAAAAGTTGTTCATCGGAATTTGATGTTGGACGTGAGCTTCTTGCCCATGCCAGAACTAAGCGATGAAGAGACGAATGGAGCTGCCTCGGATGTGGCCAGTGAGTTTCAGCCTCCTTCTGTTGATGCTTTGAGTGGCCTAGCAGTAGATGCTTCTGAGGACCGTACATGTTCGTGGTTAAACGCATCCTCTGACTCTGAGTCTATTGGAGAAGCTGATGAGTCTGAGATGGAGAATGAGATGCCCCACTCCCTGTCCAGGAAGTCTGTTCAACTGACACCCACGAGAGCCCAGTCTAAAGAGGTCAGAGACCAAGGGGAAAATGAATACTCACCTGTGAGAGGCTTGTCGGATTCCAGTGACCCCCCTGATTTGCACATGACTGACACTGACTCTGTTGCCCCAATTGATGTTCCTGACTTAGATGAGACAGGGTCTTCGGACGTCAATTCACCTGTTACACTGATTGATAGTCAGATACCCTCCCAAGTACAAGGGTTTGAAAGTCAGGTTGTCAGAACACGTACTGGCAGGGTTGTTAAGGCAGTCGATCGCTTGATAGAGAACATGGTGCAAAAACCACTCACCAAGGGTTTTGTTACAGGAGTCAGAAGGTCACTGTCTTTCCGTTCTTTATTTTAGATACATTTTTGAGATTAAGATATTTTTCTTTATTACCAGTAGTATGACCTGGGTCATGAGATGTTCATATTGGAGGGAAAGTGTTCCAAGATTTCATATGGTGTACAAGGCATCATATTCACTAGAAGGGGCAGTAGCCTGATCAACTGCTATTTTCTTTTAACTTACTTTGTAAGTAGCTTTATACGCTGTATATGGGAAATGGAGTCCCAGGGCTATCTTGGACCAAGTGGACAAGAGTTTTATTCTATATGTTTTTGGTTATTTTCCACCCTCGAAGTGTGAAGGATTTTGGTGAAATTAAAGAGGGGTGAATGTAACAGGTCAAAGAATTACAGATTTTTGTAACCGTTCATTTTCTATTTTTTATTTTATTTTGTGAGTTGATTTCACCAAAATATTGTATTGTTCAGCATATCGTGTAGTTTACAGATATTGGGAGAGTTAGTTGGGTAAGTGCGCCCTCTAGAGGGTTGGTTTGGTTATATGCGGAGGGATCTCATGCTTTTCTCAGTCTGCATTCTACTCGACTGGGAGAGGCGGATTCTGGTCGAGGGTAGAGTTTTGAACATTTTCTCTCCTTGATGTTGAACAGATTGAGAGAGTTGTACACAATAAAGTGCCTTCAAGTACGCCAGTGTCTTGTCTTCAGTGCACCGGAACACAACGCAGTAGTCGGCAACGAGCAGACCGCGCCGGCTACAAATACTTCAGGTCAGTATGATCAACAGTGATCATGCCTAAATGCATGCTATCAATGTATGTGAGCTGTACGGTAGTAGATCTAGCTGCAAGCTGTATGTGTGTGAACATTTCTGTCTCTCTCTATACTTGACAATATGTACACTTCTCCAGCTACCGAAAACAGACTTATCCATCTGAAGCCAATATGATGTGTATGAGATGGTGTGACTTTTACAGAGTTTATACCTTGCTACATAAACCGTTTGTGTGTGATCCTCTCTCTTTCTCTCTCCCAATGTGCAAACTTTTTTTTTTCTCTAAAAAATGACCTTGGTATCAGCATTGCTGGCTTCATAAAAAACTGTTGATCTGATGGATTTTGGATATCCTTGGTCTGACTCAAATGAACGAAATGAGTCGAAAGATTCATTATTTTGACTGAACGAGGAACAGATCAGAGTCAGTAGAAAGAGCCGAACTTCCCATCACTGGGTGCGCTGAAATATATGCCCACCGTGACGTATAGCAACGCCCACCGTGACGTATAGCACCGCCCACCGTGACGTATAGCACCGCCTACCGTGACGTATAGCACCGCCCATCGTGACGTGTAGTACCGCCTACCGTGACGTATAGCACCGCCCACCGTCAAAATGCAGTCAAAAGTGGGTCCCAGCTTGCTGCCCCATGGAGTGTTGAAAACACAAGACCAAGCTGACACCTATCCGGTCAGCTGTTTGAGTCAAACTCAGAATAATTTAAAGGATCACAAGGAATTCATCAACAGTACGATTCAACGTAAACCATCGGCACGTTACAAAATTGCTAGCTTGCTACCTTCATGTACCCAGCTTTTCGCTAGCTAACTAGCACGAATCAGCAGGCTAATCGAAACAACTTGTTAGCGTAGGCATTTAGCTTTTGTAGGATTTTACAATGGGATCCAGAGCGTCGACATTACTGAGAGAGGAGGAGATTGAAGAAATCAAAAAGGAGACCGGCTGTAAGTTGAATTGTCCACGTTTACCAATGGCTGTTAACTAGCTAGCTTGTTAGCTAGCCAACGCAGTGCTAGTTAACTTGCTAGTTAGCCTTATTGGCTCAGTACTGTAGTCTGTAGCCAACTAGCAATTCTATGACAAACTCTCACTCTAGTTTAACAAAAAGGCGCGTTGTTCCACCTAGCTAACTATATTGTTGCTAGTTAGATTAGTGTTGTGTTTGTACATTATGCAAGTACTAGTTAGTGTCGTGAAGTGTTATGTTTTTCTACTGTCCCTTGAAATGACCTGAGCAAAGACATGTAATTATTCTGGTGCCTGGGTTGTCCCTAACCACTACATAATAACTACATAGGCTTTATTCCAGAAGATCACAGCAAAGAAACAAACTAACGTTAGCTACTGACATTAAATTACGAACAAACGTTGTTGAAAAAAAAAAAGACTAACTATCAATTTCCTTCTCATTTACATTTGAGTATTATTAGCTGACGCTCTTATCCAGTGCGATTTAGTTAGTGCACCCATCTAGGTGAGACAACCACACATAGTAAGGACATTTTTCCTCAAAGTAGCTCTCAGCAAAGTCAGTGCTAGTATGCTACGTTATCGTACTCCTTTGTATAAAGAGACCTGAGGCATTTAGAAGCATAATCCCAACGATGTTGTCACTGTGTTTGTTGGCAGTTTCCCACAGCCAGATCACACGGCTCTACAGTCGCTTTACCAGCTTGGACAAAGGAGAGAACGGCACGCTCAGGTACAGAACCGGCCCCAACAGCAGCACTGCCGCTGGTGTGATTATATTAAATGTTTTGATTTTAATTTAACTAAGTCAGTTAAGAACAAATTCTTATTTGGTCCTCTGTAGCTCAGCTGGTAGAGCACGGCGCTTGTAACGCCAGGGTAGTGGGTTCGATCCCCGGGACCACCCATACACAAACAAATGTATGCACGCATGACTGTAAGTCGCTTTGGATAAAAGCGTCTGCTAAATGGCTTATTATTATATTATATTTACAATGTGTGCGCTTCGTGAAACACTCAGTAACTACTGAAACAACCAGAAGGGAGAAGGTTCATGGTTCATGGTTACCCTTCTTCCCTGCATTGCATCTGCTGTAACACCATCAGATCCTACTGGGTAATGTGCAATGGAATTGTCCTCATGCCAGTGAATATCGCTTAGAGGCAAGTGACCATTTCCCCTACTTAAAAGTGGCAATGGAAGGATATTCTGAGCCCGGTGTGGTTTTGAAATTGAGTGCACATTTAGACGTTTGTAGCCTCCGGTCTGTGAGCAGTGCACACGCGACTCCCTTGGCCAAAAGCCTTTCCTCTGGGCTCAGGCATAACCTACAGTACCCACACTAGTGGTGTATTTGCCACTGGATAAGATGTCTACATTTTACATTTGAGATTTTAGTCATTTAGCAGACGCTCTTATCCAGAGCGACTTACAGTTAGTGAGTGCATACATTTTTCATACTGGCCCCCCGTGGGAAACGAACCCACAACCCTGGCGTTGCAAGCGCCATGCTCTACCAACTGAGCTACAGGGGAACATATTTTTTTGACCCGGGTGTCCGTCTAGTCTGACAACACTGTTTGCAATATCAACAGCAGATTTAGTGCACGTGTGACCTCAAACATTACATTGCAAACAGACTAGATAGACAGTCTGATTGCTCTCAATGTTCCTTTCCTTCTCAATGTTCCCTCCCTCTCTGACCTTCAGAGAAAACGGTCTCCTTTAATCACATCTCTTTTATCTCTCTGAGTGGGTTCTAACCCTCTATAAGGAAGAAACTTCCTAGATTCCAGCCACACATTTAACCAGTGTCTTTGAAGTGTTACTACTGACTATTAAACTGGGTGGGGGTCAGTTTCAGATCACTATATGATATTTAACAAGGTAGATACAAAACTGTAAACACTGGAATGTAGACAGTCTACTTTCCTGTTTACATATAACCAGTGTGGGTTCTGTGGCCTCTCACTGAAGCATCCGGTCTGCATTACGGTATACAGTGGGGCTGGGCATGGCTAAAGCTGGTCTGGTGAATCCAAGGTGACTTGTCTTAATAATTAATCAGTTGACACAACACTACAGCCACGTCCACTCCCCTGGGCTGAATGTCTCACCCCGCACACTCTCAATGTCGAGCTGACTGCTCAAGACCCAGCGAGCCGCACCGTTTGAATCAAATCATACGGCCAAAGGAATCATTGTCATATCATCACAATATCCAGTGTCATATCGGTGATATCTGGTAGTGTGATGTGGGGACACATTCTTAGACTCTCTAAGAGACTATAGTCCAACATTCCCTCTGTTGTCATTGAGTTAATCCTAACTCTCTTCACCTTGTCTGGTTTCTGTAGTCGTGAAGATTTCCAGCGGATCCCAGAGTTGGCCATCAATCCTCTGGGAGACAGAATCATCAATGCCTTCTTTCCTGAGGGGTGAGTCGTCTCTGTGTCCTTTACGGTCGTCTCTGTGTCCTTTACGGTCGTCTCTGTGTCCTTTACGGTCGTCTCTGTGTCCTTTACGGTCGTCTCTGTGTCCTTTACGGTCGTCTCTGTGTCCTTTACGGTCGTCTCTGTGTCCTTTACGGTCGCCTCTGTGTCCTTTACGGTCGCCTCTGTGTCCTTTACGGTCGCCTCTGTGTCCTTTACGGTCGCCTCTGTGTCCTTTACGGTCGCCTCTGTGTCCTTTACGGTCGCCTCTGTGTCCTTTACGGTCGCCTCTGTGTCCTTTACGGTCGCCTCTGTGTCCTTTACGGTCGTCTCTGTGTCCTTTACGGTCGTCTCTGTGTCCTTTACGGTCGTCTCTGTGTCCTTTACGGTCGTCTCTGTGTCCTTTTACTGTTTTTCCTCAAGGGTACACACTGCACATAGCCGTAAGTCACACTTACTACAAGAACCGTTTAGTAATACATTAAACGTACGTTAAATATTATTTTGTTGGAACAGGGTTACAAATGAATGGTTTGTGTGTATTTGACAATAAATATTCAAACGTTTAAGACAAACTGCACATTTTTAAGCTAGTTTTTGTAGACATGGTGGTTCTGGATCTTTGAAATTGACATGAAAGTTCCATGATTTATGGATCGGCCTGTATCATTACACGACCAGTGTGTAGGCGACTTGATTTTAGCTGTGGCTTATAATGGTTACTGGTCCTCTGGAGTCTGGCGCTGGTCTGGTTTGGAGCAGTTTGTGAAGAGAGTTGTTGAGTTCCACCGCAGATTGTAGCATTATAGCCTGGTCCTAGATCTATTTGTGCTGTCTTGACCACTTGTGTGGTTATTTCCAGCATAGAATTGAGTAAGAAGGCACAAACAGACCTTCAACTAGGCTAGAGCATGCCTGGAGGACAGACGGGGAGCTGTTCAATCAGGACACGAGTCTTGTTGTCTGCAGTAATTGACTAGCTAAGACTTTTGCGATTTTGTGTGACCCACGCACGTCCGTGTCTCAGGTTAGGCTGAGTCATGCGAGCCAGAATGAATGGCCTGGTAGAACAGGGTCACATTGGTCTGAGGTGTACTGACCTTGAGTCTTTAACTAGTGACATGAATAACTGTTTTTACTGGATGGCTATGGAGCAAATGATACAGATGAAGCTTTCACTACCGTACCTTAGAAATGACCCTCATTCTATATGTAGGCCTCTGTTATAGCCTACCATTCTATATGTAGGCCTCTGTTATAGCCTACCATTCTATATGTAGGCCTCTGTTATAGCCTACCATTCTATATGTAGGCCTCTGTTATAGCCTACCATTCTATATGTAGGCCTCTGTTATAGCCTACCATTCTATATGTAGGCCTCTGTTATAGCCTACCATTCTATATGTAGGCCTCTGTTATAGCCTACCATTCTGAGGGATGGTTGACTGAAGTCATTGTTATTTGACTGTGATGCTGGATTGTTGATGGGGGGGGGGTAAGTAATTGTTGTTTTCCCCACGGTTGGTCGGACAGGGAGGACCAGGTTAACTTCCGGGGCTTCATGAGGACGCTGGCTCACTTCCGTCCCATAGAGGACAATGAGAAGAACAAGGATCCCCACCGCCTCTGAACCTCTCAACAGCAGGACCAACAAGCTGCTCTGTAAGTCAGAGACTAGGCCCTAGCCTGGGTCCCAGGTGCGTTTTTGTACTGTCTTGCCAACTCCTTGTCGAGATGGCACAAACAGGCTAGGCACAACTAGCCTGGGTCCCAGAACTGAGTTGACTGTTTCTCTATCCCTCCATTGTTTTAAAAAGCTAGTCGGTTAAGACTTTTTTTTTATTTTTATGATGGAAATTTGAAAATGCATTTTGAAACGATGACTTAACGTTAAATTCCTCCATCTCTGCTCCAGTTGCTTTCCAGCTATATGACCTGGACAGAGATGACAAGATCTCCCGGGACGAACTGCTACAGGTGAGGGTTTAAATGACACATTTAAGTATTTTTTAAAATGTTTTTGTCATTGGAGAATGAGGGCTTTACTGTTGTGGAGTATGTATCAGAAGGATAAATACATTGGACCTACACTAGAGCTGAATAACGAACTCTAAGGCAGACACTCCTTTTCTCTGCTTTTGTTGAAAACAGAGAGACTTTTTGTCTTAGGTTTGTCATTTTTTCATTTTAGTCATTTAGCAGACGCTCTTATCCAGAGCCACTTACAGTTAGTGAGTGCATACATTTTTCAACCTCCTTCCTCTTTCTTCTGTATTCTCTCATTGTATCGGCTGGGCAGTGCCCTATGAAATATTACCTGTGTGGGCAGTGCCCTATGAAATATGACCTGTGTGTCCAGGTGGGCAGTGCCCTATGAAATATGACCTGTGTGTCTAGGTGGGCGGTGCCGTATGAAACCTGTTTATCGGACTGGGACGTGCCCTACAATCACTGTTATCTCTGGATTCGATGACTCAGGAGAAGCTAATCTCTTGTTTTGAAAACAAAATGGCTGCCTAATATTCTTTATATCATGCACATGCCTTGAGCGCTTATTCCCACATTAACACTGGAATTTCAAGGCTGAATTATTTTTGCACCCTTTGTTAACAGAAGTCTTTTTTTTTCACTTATACTCATTATTTATGTATACTACATTTAGGTCATCCTGTACTTTACAGCACTGGTGTTAAGACTTAGAACTGTACATTTTAGACCCTAAGGAACTTTGTCAACATATTCCAGGTTTTTTAGAATGATGGTTGGCGTGAACATGTTTATTCCAGGTTCTAAGAATGATGGTTGGCGTGAACATGTTTATTCCAGGTTCTAAGAATGATGGTTGGCGTGAACATGTTTATTCCAGGTTCTAAGAATGATGGTTGGCGTGAACATGTTTATTCCAGGTTCTAAGAATGATGGTTGGTGTGAACATGTTTATTCCAGGTTCTAAGAATGATGGTTGGCGTGAACATCTCTGACGAGCAGCTGGGCAGCATCGCTGATAGGACCATCCAGGAGGCTGACCAGAACGGAGACAACTCCATTTCCTTTAATGAGTTCATCAAGGTTGGAAACTTACATTTGTATATTTGGGAACGTTCACTAATACCTGACCTAGAATCAGTGGTGACAGGCAGTTACTTGGGGTACTCCCTTGGTGACAGGCAGTTACTTGGGGTACTCCCTTGGTGACAGGCAGTTACTTGGGGTACTCCCTTGGTGACAGGCAGTGGCTGAGATAGCAGATGTTCTGACTTTACACACTGCACTCTTTGAGAGAGGTAGTTAGCGAACCAAGCCAAAGACCCCTCAGAGACACATTTACATTTTAGTCATTTTAGCAGACGCTCTTATCCAGAGCCACTTACAGTTAGTGAGAGCATACATTTTCATACTGGCCCCCCGTGGGAAACGAACCCACAACCCTGCCGTTGCAAGCGCCATGCTCTACCAACTGAGCTACAGGGGACACCAATACTCCTTAGCCGGCCGACCAAGAATGGAATGGTCTACCGTATCAAAAGCTTTGGCCAAGTCAATAAAAATAGCAGCACAACATTGCTTAGAATCAAGGGCAATGGTGACATCATTTAGGACCTTCAAGGTTGCAGTGACACATCCATAACCTGAGCGGAAACCAGATTGCATACCAGAGAGAATACTATAGACATCAAGAAAGCCAGTCAGTTGATTATTGACAAGTTTTTCCCAACACTTTTGATAAACAGGGCAAAATAGAAATTGGCCTATAACAGTTAGGATCAGCTTGATCTCCCCCTTTAAATAAAGGACGCACCGTGGCTGCCTTCCAAGTAATGGGAACCTCCCCAGAGAGGAGAGACAGGTTAAAAAGGTCAGAGACAGGCTTGGCGATGATAGGGGCAGCAACCTTAAACATAAAAAAAAAAATGTTTAGTCATTTAGCAGACGCTCTTATCCAGTGCATTCATTATTTTTTTAATTTTTCATACTGGCCCCCCGTGGGAATCGAACCCACAATCCTGGCATTGCAAACGCCATGCTCTACCAACTGAGCTACATCCCTGCCGGCCATTCCCTCCCCTACCCTGGACGCCGCCCCATGGGTCTCCAGGTCGCGGCCGGCTACGACAGAGCCTGGATTCGAACCTTAGACCACTGCGCCACTCGCAGTCATCTGACCCAGATGGTTTTTTGGGGTCAAGTTTTAAGGAGCTCCTTTAGCACCTCGGACTCAGTGACCACCTGCAGGGAGAAACTTTGTAGCGGGGGGAAAAGAGGGAGGAGCATCGGGGCTAGTCGCATTAGAAGGGCTGGGAGATTAGGAAATGTTGGACGGGCAATGAGGCATGGCTGAGTCAAATAGGAATCCTGACTTAATGAAGTGGTGATTTAAAGAGTTCAGCCATGTGCTCCTTGTCAGTAACAACCACATCATCAACATTAAGGGACATGGGCAGCTGTGAGGAAGAGGGTTTATTCTCCAGGTCTTTAACTGTTTTCCAGAACTTTCTTGGGGTTAGACCCACAGAGAGAGAACTGCTCCTTAAAGTAACTAACTTCGGCCTTCCAGATAGCCTGAGAGCACTTATTTCTCATTTGCCTGAACGAGAGCCAGTTAGCCTGAGTATGTGTGTGCCGAGCCTTTCGCCAAATGGAATTCTTGAGGTGGAGTAACTCTGCCAGATCACGGTCGAACCAGGGGCTGAACCTGTTTTTAATTCTCATTTTCTTTATGGGGCGTGTTTGTTAACAATACCACTGAAAATATAAAAAAAGAAGTTCTAAGCGTCTTCGACAGAGGGGATCAAGCTGATTCTATACCAATTTACAGAGGCCAGGTCATGAAGGAAGGCTTGCTCATTAAAGGTTTTTATCAAGCGTCTATGACAAATCAGGACAGGTCATTTCACTGAGCAGCCATTACGAACACAGGCTGTAAAACAGTGATCACTAAGGTCATTACAGAAAACACCAGACTGATACCTATCAGGATTATTTGTGAGGATAACATCAAGGAGAGTAGCCTTTTCTGGGTGTTTGGAGTCATACCTTGTGGGATTGGTTAATAATCTGAGAAAGATTTAAGGAGTCCCATTGCTTTAGGACTTGGTCAGGTGGTTTAAGCATGTCCCAGTTTAGGTCACCTAGCAGGACAAATTCAGACTTAGTGTAAGGGGCCAGGAGAGAGGTTAGGGCAGGTAGGGTACAGGCCGGTGCTGTGTAAGGGGCCAGGAGAGAGCTTAGGGCAGGTAGGGTACAGGCCGGTGCTGATGGAGGACGATAACGCCCAGCAACAGTCAACAAAGAGCTATTTGATAGTTTCATGCTTAAAAATCAGCAAATCAAATTGTTTGGGGACAAACTTGGTGGAGACAACCGAGCCATGAAGGTGTTCCTTGGTAAAGATTGCCACTCCACCACCTTTGGAAGATCTGTCTTGCCAAAAAAGGTTATAACCAGAAAGGTTAACATCAGTGTTCAAAACACTCTTTCTTAACCACGTCTCAGTAATGACCAACACATCTGGATTGGAGCTGTGAACCCACACTTTCAATTGATCCATTTTAGGTAAGAAGCTTCTAGTGTTAACATGCAGAAAGCCCAGGCTTTTACGAGAGCAGGAATCAGTGAAGCAGATATCGGAGGACAAGTCAGAATTGGGGCTAGCAACAGTAGACGGACCAGGGTGTACATGCACGTTTCCAGATATCATCAGCAGTAATCCAATCAGGGCACGGCAGAGGACAGGGAGGAGCGCTGCAGTGTTGATTTTATGACATTTTAAAATGTGCATCAGATGGCAACAAGATCATATTGTACAACAATTTCATCGGGTAACATGAATACAAAGCTGGCGAGAGGTGGTTAGAGTAGGATGGGAGGCCCAGAGACCGTGGAACCAATAGAGAGTCAGAGTCCCGAGTGTAGTAACAAACGCCGTCTGTCCCACGGGCGGGTAAACGAGGAAGGTCACAGTCAACAAAGCACGCAGGAGTCATGAGGCAAATGGCAATAAAACACAAGGAAACAAGTATAACGACCTGGGGCCAGCCATGGGAAGTTCAGAGTCTCTCGCCCCAACTGGAGGACGACCTGGGGCCAGCCATGGGAAGTTCAGAGTCTCTCGCCCCAACTGGAGGCTCGGGAGAGAGGGGAGGGGGGGGTGTGGCGGGGGTACCTGACAGGGGGAGACGGGACAGGCCAGGGCAGGCGGTAAACAGACCGCCAGGTGGAATCCAAGCAGCAGGGGCAACAGGAGTAGGTGTCACACCCACTTGGGATAAACTTTTTCGGGAGGCAGATTCCTTGTAGGAGATGCCAGCGAGCTACGTCCAAACAAAAGTTGTCCTGTGGCTGTTGTATTTTGGAGATTGCGAGGAGGATATTTTCTGATGTTATCAAAGCAAAAATATTGTTTCTTATTGATGTAATTTACAATTGAAGTGTCCTGGCTACATATTGGGGGGGGGGGGGGGGGGGGGGGTCTCCCCTGAATGAGACAATATTGATGGTAATGTTGAGGTTATCACTGCAGGTGTTGATGGCCTTGTTAGACTGAGGTAATGTATCGGGTTGTGGTTAGTGACCGAGGTAATGTATCAGGTTGTGGTTAGTGACCGGTGTTGTTGATGTCCTCCTCAGGTGCTGGAGAAAGTGGACGTGGAACAGAAGATGAGCATCCGCTTCCTACACTGAGACACTGATTGGACCCCATCCTGACAGGACTGTCTCTGATTGGATCCCATCCTGACAGGACTGTCTCTGATTGGACCCCATCCTGACAGGACTGTCTCTGATTGGACCCCATCCTGACAGGACTGTCTCTGATTGGACCCCATCCTGACAGGACTGTCTCTGATTGGACCCCATCCTGACAGGACTGTCTCTGATTGGACCCCATCCTGACAGGACTGTCTCTGATTGACTGGACCCTCCACCTTCACCATGTCCGTTGGAACAAGACCCAAGCGGAGTCCCAACTGGCACCCTATTCCCTATGTAGTACACTACTTTTGCCCAGGGCCCATAGGTCCCAAGTCAAAAGTAGTGCACTACATAGGAAATAGGGTGCTCTTTTGGACGCAGACTCACTCCCATCTCAATACACTATGGGCAGCAGCTGTGGCCCTCTACCACCGTACAGTACTATGCTCTCTCTCTCTCTCTCTCTCTCTCTCTGACCCCTCCTCCTCCATACAGTACTATGCTCTCTCTCTCTCTCTGACCCCTCCTCCTCCATACAGTACTATGCTCTCTCTCTCTCTCTGACCCCTCCTCCCCCATACAGTACTACGCCTATCTCCTCTCTCTCCCTCTCTGAACCCTCCTCCATACAGTACCTATGCTCTCTCTCTCTCTCTCTCTGACCCCTCCTCCATACAGTACTATGCTCTCTCTCTCTCTTCTCTTAGACCCCTCCTCCATACAGTACTATGCTCTCTATCTCTCTCTCTCCGGACCCCTCCCCCAATACAGTACTATGCCTCGTACCCCTGACAACCTCCTCCATACAGTAACTATGCTATCTCTCTCTCTCTCCTCTCCTCTCTCTAGGAACCCCCTCCTCCATGACAGTTACTATGCTCTCTCTCTCTCTCTCTCTCTCTCTCTGACCCCTCCTCCGTACAGTACTATGCTCTCTCTCTCTCTCTCTCTCTCTCTCGACCCCCTCCTCCATACAGTACTATGCTCTCTCTCTCTCTCTCTCTGACCCCTCCTCCATACAGTACTATGCTCTCTCTCTCTCTCTCTCTCTCTCTCTCTCTCTCTCTCTCTCTCTCTCTCTCTCTCTCTCTCTCTCTCTCTGACCCCTCCTCCATACAGTACTATGCTCTCTCTCTCTCTCTGACCCCTCCTCCTCCATACAGTACTATGCTCTCTCTGACCAAGGTTATGGTATATAAGATAATGTTGTAGTTTTTAATATTTTGTCTGACTGTTCTGCCTTGCACTGCTCTGTAAACTAAAGGGAATAGTTGCGTGCCTTGGGTTGTTTTATGTTAAGTCTGGCTTCTCTTACAGATGAAACCTTTAATATTTATTGTTTAGACCGTTCAAGGTTGAAATAGATCTCAATGTTTATTAGCAAGGCTCTGCGTTTATCACCTTTTTGACTTAAACCGTTAAACCTTTAGACATTTTAAACGTTTAAAACATGTTTGGTGTCGTTCCATGTAAGGTATGGCGTTGTTATTGTGATGTTAGCCAGGGCAGAAAAGGCCAAATCTATCCTCCTTTTATTTAAGCTAACTTTTTATCAAAAAAATGTGTTGCTGCTTTCTTTGTCAGTATGAATACACAGATGTAAAGGTAATATGAACGTGTCCCTCCAGTAACGTGTATTGCGTTGTTATGCTAACGAGGAATAATGCATATTCCTTCCATCACTGAGCAACGACTTGTTCTCAAGGGCAGGGTTTCCCAACTCGGTCTTGACCCTAGCTGGTCTAATGACATAACCCTGACCCTAGCTGGTCAGAGGCTTAGATCAATATCCTCAAGTCTAGGAGTAACACAAACCTTTCCACGATCAATAGAAGATTTAAAGAGTCATTGTGAATCAACCAAGAGGCATTGTAGTCTAACGTATAAACATCCATACCACTGTTCCATGCTTTTATTATTGATTTATCATCAGGTTAGCCAGGTACTTTTGATGGAGAGGCGAAAAACATTCTAATTTTGTTTTTGTTTATGTATTTGAACCAGAAATGCCAAATGTATGATAGTACCAGCGCTCATTAAGCTATATGTGATTGTGGATCTGTCTTTTTAAGGTGCTACACAGGATGATTTGTCAGATTTTTTTGCATTGTAATTTCAGAATGTCAATAATACACCTGCAGGAATAGTGGAATGATCATGTTGAGCCTTTTTTTTTTTTTTTGGTACACCAGCTTCAAACAGCTGTTTTTTGTTTTAGTTATTGAAATGATATTTCACAGCGATTTTTAGATGGTATAATGATTACCTACAATATTCAGTGCTTGTTTTCACACAAACTAAAGTTGAGCGAACGGCGTAGAATTTTAGCAACCAGGAAATGAGACAACGGATGCCATTTTGACAACGGATGCCTCTCCGGTTGGGAGAAATCAATAGGCGAATATCACAGCCAATCACAACAATGGTGAGTAAGTAACACCTGGTGAAACACTCCTTCCACTATTAGCGCCAGCTATGTTAGGGGACATTTCCTGAAAATTACAATGCAAAAATTCTACCAAAATCCTGAGTAGCACCTTTTTTTTAAATGATAGATGCCAACAGATCCTCCTTGATGCTGGAAGTAGAGATTTATTTTTCATCAATTATTTTTATTAATCGAAATGTGATAATCAATCATGCATAACTCAAATGTACGCTATATAGAAATGTTTATCCTGTGAAATGTTAGGACAATTGTAAAAATTATTTGATTGCAATAAAACTTGCTCAAAAGTTACCTTTTTTGGCTTTGTCTTGTTTCATTTGGACGGCCTAATATAGTATTTATCCTTGTTACTCTTTTTAGTTTACGTTCATCCAAGCAAGGTCTGGGATGTCCAGGACTAGCTATATAGGTCACCAGCTTGTCTTCCTAAAACCCAGAGTTAGTTACCTCTGATTGGTTCAGCCATTCCTATGTGGAAAGAATAAGCTCAGGAGATCTTATAGGTTTTTATTCTATGAGATGATCGCAGTCAGTTAACATGACCAAGTTTGACAATGAACTTGCTTGTTTACACAACCGTGGGACAGACTGTTCTTGGACTCCCATCGTATTCAAACCACCTCTCGCCGGCTTTGTATTCATGTTACCTGATGAAATTGCTGTACAATATGATCTTGTTGCCATCTGATGCACATTTAAAATGTCATAAAATCAACACTGCAGCGCTCTCCCTGTCCCCTGCCCTGATTGTATTACTGCTGATGATATCTGGAAATGTGCATGTACACCCTGGCCCATCTACTGTTGCTAGCCCCAATTCTGACTTGTGCTCTGATATCTGCTTCACTGATTCCTGCTCTTGTAAAAGCACGGGCTTTCTGCACATTAATACAAGAAGCTTCTTACCTAAAATGGATCAATTGAAAGTGTGGGTTCACAGCTCCAATCCAGATGTGTTGGTCATTACTGAGACGTGGTTAAGAAAGAGTGTTTTGAACACTGATGTTAACCTTTCTGGTTATAACCTTTTTCTGCAAGACAGATCTTCCAAAGGTGGTGGAGTGGCAATCTTTACCAAGGAACACCTTCAGGGCTCGGTTGTCTCCACCAAGTTTGTCCCCAAACAATTTGATTTGCTGATTTTTAAGCATGAAACTATCAAATAGCTCTTTGTTGACTGTTGCTGGGCGTTATCGTCCTCCATCAGCACCGGCCTGTACCCTCGCTACCCTAAGCTCTCTCCTGGCCCCTTACACTAAGTCTGAATTTGTCCTGCTAGGTGACCTAAACTGGGACATGCTTAAACCACCTGACCAAGTCCTAAAGCAATGGGACTCCCTAAATCTTTCTCAGATTATTAACCAATCCCACAAGGTATGACTCCAAACACCCAGAAAAGGCTACTCTCCTTGATGTCATCCTCACCAATAATCCTGATAGGTATCAGTCTGGTGTTTTCTGTAATGACCTTAGTGATCACTGTTGTGTTCATAATGGCTGCTCAGTGAAATGACCTGTCCTGATTTGTCATAGACGCTTGCTAAAAACCTTTAATGAGCAAGCCTTCCTTCATGACCTGGCCTCTGTAAATTGGTATCGAATCAGCTTGATCCCCTCTGTCGAAGACGCTTAGAACTTCTTTTTTTATATTTTCAGTGGTATTGTTAACAAACACGCCCCATAAAGAAAATGAGAATTAAAAACAGGTTCAGCCCCTGGTTCGACCGTGATCTGGCAGAGTTACTCCACCTCAAGAATTCCATTTGGCGAAAGGCTCGGCACACGCATTCAGGCTGACTGGCTCTCGTTCAGGCAAATGAGAAATAAGTGCACTCAGGCTATCCGGAAGGCCAAAGTTAGTTACTTTAAGGAGCAGTTCTCTCTCTGTAGGTCGAACCCCAAGAAGTTCTGGAAAACAGTTAAAGACCTGGAGAATAAACCCTCCTCCTCACAGCTGCCCATGTCCCTTAATGTTGAGGATGTGGTTGTTACTGACAAGGAGCACATGGCTGAACTCTTTAAATCACCACTTCATTAAGTCAGGATTCCTATTTGACTCAGCCATGCCTCATTGCCCGTCCAACATTTCCTAATCTCCCAGCCCTTCTAATGCGACTAGCCCCGATGCTCCTCCCTCTTTTTCCCCTGCCCCGCTACAAAGTTTCTCCCTGCAGGCGGTCACTGAGTCTGGTGCTAAAGAAGCTCCTTACACTTGACCCCAAAAAACCATCTGGGTCAGATGACTGCGAGTGGCGCAGTGGTCTAAGGTTCGAATCCAGGCTCTGTCGTAGCCGACCGCGACGGGGAGACCCATGGGGCGGCGTCCAGGGTAGGGGAGGGAATGGCCGGCAGGGATGTAGCTCAGTTGGTAGAGCATGGCGTTTGCAACGCCAGGGTTATGGGTTCGATTCCCACGGGGGGCCAGTATGAAAAATAAAAAAATAATGTATGCACTCACTAACTGTAAGTTGCTCTGGATAAGAGCGTCTGCTAAATGACTAAAATGTTTTTAAAAAATGTTTAAGGTTGCTGCCCCTATCAT